AAGTCAAACAACTACATTTTACCTTCACAACAGCCCTGTGAGGTAGATTATGCTGAGAATGACTAGTTCCAAGTTCCCACTGAGCTTTATGAAAGAATGGGGATTTGAACCCAGGTCCCCCTAGTTGCATCTGACATACCAATCATAGGGTGCGTTCAGACGGGGCGTTTCAGCCGGCATAAACTGTACCGGTTGGAACCGGTGCAGTTTATGCCGGCTGAAACACAATCACACTCACCTCCTGTCTGTGGAGCCCATCGTTGTATGCCCGTCCACACGTAGCGGGCATCGGCGTTTTTTTTTTTTAACTCAGTTTGAGCATGCGCATAGGCAGCCATCCACAGAATGGCAATCTTTGCGCATGCGCAAAAAAACCCGTCTGACATTTAAACTTTAAAGGTAAGGACTTACTTTTAAAGTTTAAAGAGCAAAGTAGCTCCCTGAGGTCCTGGACTCCTCCGAAACGCTAAACTAAGGCCCTTTGCTTTAAAAAACAAACAAACGCCAGGGTGAAGCTTCGCCCAAGCGCATATCGCCAATCTTTAAAAATAAATGGTGGGCGAAAATTGGAATCCTCAGGCTTCCGAACGGAAGAGGCTCTGCAACGTTGGAGAGCGATCAGACGGGGGGGTAAAGCAATTACAACCGGTGTACTCAGGATACCACCACCTGGGGACCTAGTGGCAGAATACAACGGTGTAAATCTCTTTGCAACAAGTTAGGGATGGAAGGCAGATGTTCTACGTGTGAACGCCGGTAAGTACACCGATTGCAACCGGCACCTATTCCATTGCAGATGCCCCGTCTGAACACACCCATACTGTTCCAAGACTAAGATATGTTATTAGGCTAAGGGAACAGAATTTTAATCCATGCATTAAAGTAAGCAAAGTGTGTTGTCGAGTTGCATCCAATCCAATTCATGGCAACCCCAGGGTTTTCCAAGTAAGAGATAATCAGAGGTGGTCTGCTGTTGCCTTCCTCTGCATAACAACCCAAGACTTCCTTGGCGGTCTTCCATCCAACCACTAACCATGGCAGATCCTTGCTTAGTTTCCAAGCTATGATAAGATCAGGCTAGTCTGGGCTATTAGGGCTACTAACTCGGGCATTACAGAGTCCAAAATATTCAATGTGGTGGGCTTAGACAATGTTAGAATATTTCAGGAACTGAACTTTACTCACTTGTGCCTCCTTTGTCTGAGTTTTGTGGCTTTTAAAGGTTACTTCATGGTCATCTTCAACAGTGGAACTGGCATTCAATGCTGCAATCCTTATCTAGAGGCAAGAAAAAAAAGAAACTGCTAAAACTCTGGAAGCAAATCAGCTGGTCATTATCTTATTCCAGAACCCATCACTCATTCAGAAGTGGGGACAGAGGGAATCCACTACAATACACTTTGACATCTGTCTAAAGAGAAGTGCCGGGAGAAAATATGGCCACACCACCACACCAAGGATCGGCGACGCTGCTCGACTACGTGAAGCAAATCAGCTGGTCATTATCTTATTCCAGAACCCATCACTCATTCAGAAGTGGGGACAGAGGGAATCCACTACAATACACTTTGACATCTGTCTAAAGAGAAGTGCCGGGAGAAAATATGGCCACCACCACACCAAGGATCGGCGACGCTGCTCGACTACGTACAGGGTTTACATTTAATCTCCTGCATTTGTTTAATTAAGAACTGAAGGCCTACAAAACAGTCTCGGCATGCACGGCTGCTATCTTTCTCGGGCCTGCTAGGTCTGGGTCAAGGGAGAACAGAAGCCGCTCTCTCCAGTTAGAATATTTCAGGAACTGAACTTTACTCACTTGTGCCTCCTTTGTCTGAGTTTTGTGGCTTTTAAAGGTTACTTCATGGTCATCTTCAACAGTGGAACTGGCATTCAATGCTGCAATCCTTATCTAGAGGCAAGAAAAAAATAAACTGCTAAAACTCTGGAAGCAAATCAGCTGGTCATTATCTTATTCCAGAACCCATCACTCATTCAGAAGTGGGGACAGAGGGAATCCACTACAATACACTTTGACATCTGTCTAAAGAGAAGTGCCGGGAGAAAATATGGCCACCACCACACCAAGGATCGGCGACGCTGCTCGACTACGTACAGGGTTTACATTTAATCCCCTGCGATTTGTTTAATTAAGAACCGAAGGCCTACAAAACAGTCTCGGCATACACGGCTGCTATCTTTCTCGGGCCTGCTTGGTCTGGGTCAAGGGAGAACAGAAGCCGCCCTCTCCCGCAAAGAAAGGGGCAGCAAGCGAGACGCGCGTCAGTCTCCCTCCTGCTTTCCAACAAGGACCGTCACAGCCGAAATCCGCCTCACCATCTTCGAGGAGACCCGGCGTCGTCGCTCCCCGTCCCTGCAGGAGCTGGTGTAGCAGGAGCAAAGCCGAGAAAAGCTGACGGGACGAGCGACAGCTAAGACTTCCGCCGGCGATCAAAGACCGGCCTCGCTAGTACCGCAGGCACCACCCCTTGTTCAGCGGGGCTCGAAACGAGCGTCGCTGCCTCCTTCGGACCGGTATCTAGTTCAGCGCCCCGCCGTGGCGGAGGAGTCATGAGGAGGAAAGAGCTGCCCAGGTAGGCGCAGCCTCGTCCTTTTTCTTTAAGTGGCAGGCCGGTTTCACACGTGCTTCACGTGTCTACACTTCGCCTCCAGAGTCAGTCAAGGGTTGCCCTGGAGGGGAGGGGGAGTCGAAGGGAGAAGACTCCCGGAGGCGGGGCAGTCAGAGGGAAAAGAGGGCTAGCGTACTTCCGCGGGCGAACAGCAAAACGTCTTCTGATAGGGCAACGCCAGCCTCCCAATAGGAAGGCAGGGGCCGGAAAGGGCGGAGTAGAACGGTCCGACCTTTCCCGCCAAAAATACGGTCTCCGGAACGTGTTTTGTTCCCGGGGGTACACCTATCATCACCCCCTGGAGAAGGTGAAAAAGGGGTCCTTGGAGGCACAGTTCAAGGTGCAGGCCCCATGTTAGGATTGCATAGAAGTGTCATGATAAGGCATGTTAAAGGTAAAGGTTCCCTTGCTCGAAAGCCAGTCGAGTCCGACTCTAGGGTTGCAGAGCCAGCGCTGTCCGAAGACGTTTCCGTGGTCATGTGGCCGGCATGACTAAACACCAAGGCGCACGGAACGCTGTTACCTTCTCACCGAAGTGGTACCTATTTATCTACCTGCAATTTCTTGCTTTCGAACTGCTAGGTTGGCAGGAGCTGGAATTAGAGACGGGAGCCCACTCCGTCATGCAGCAACGCGGGTCTAGAACTGTTGAACTACTGACCTTCCACAGCCTGCAGTTCAGCATCTTAACCACTTGAGCCACCACAGCTTCTGATAAGGCATGAGCTACACATAAAACAGAATGAGGTGGTGAAAAGGACCGTGCCGCTTAAGACTGTGGGGGTGAGTTGCACTGTTCAGAAGTTTCCTTACATAAATCATCCCCTGTAATTTAAACACTAGCGCAGCATGCAAAAAGCTGGTGTGCTTTTATTTGCAAGGAGTCTGGGTGCATTAAAAATATGAATATCCCAATCCACAATGTGAAGTAGTACAGCTAGGGTTGCCAACTCCAGTTTGGTAAATTCCTGGAGATTTTGGGAATGGATCCTGAGGGCAGGGTTTGGGGAGGGGAGAGCCCTTAGCAGGGTATAGTGTCATCCAGTCCACCCTCCAAAGCAGCCATTTTCTCCAAGGGAACTTATCCCTGTCTTCTAGACATCAATTGTAATTCTGAGAAATATCCAGGCCCCACCTGGAGATTGCCAACCTTAGGTACAGCTCATCCCACCATCTCCTGCTGCATGTCTAGACCAGTCATTATACATGGAGGACAAAATGGACTGTGCCACTTTAGCCTGTAGTCAGCAGATCACCTTTTGGAATGCTGTCCTAAAATACAACTCCCTGGAAGTGGTGGTGGTGATAGAAGGTACCATCAAGTCACAGATGAGTTATGGCAACCCCATAGGGTTTTCAAGGCAAGAGATGTTCAAAGATGGTTTGCCATTGCCTACCTCTGCATAGCAGCCCTGGACTTCCTCGGTGGCCTCCCACCCCATACTATCCAGGGCTGCTGACCCTGCTTAGCTTTCAAAATCAGATGAGATCAGGCTAGCCTAGGCCATCTAGGTCAGGGTTAGAAGTAGAAAACCAGTATTCCAAGTATACTGAGAGGGGAGAACATTCTCCCTGATGTTTTACTGCTCTGTAAACAAGAAGTTTTTGTTTGGTTTTTGTAAAGGAATATCCAAAGGTGGCATCCAGCAACTGGAGTTATCAAGCGATACAGTCCATTCTGCACCTCGGATCTCTGTAACCTTATTCTGCATTTCTGAACCAGGCCTAGAATCCACTGCTAAGAGAATCCACTGTGCACCTCCTCTGGATAATGCTGGAAGTGGCAAGTCCATAAATGAGGGATTCTGTGTGGCATTTGCTGACTTTGTTTCTTAAACTGTTACTTGATTCTGTTTGATAGATTTTTAAAAAATATTGGTGTAATTAAAATTGACAAGCTAGTAACCAATTATGTGTAGCCAAAACACAGCTTCAATTTTTTTTCTCGTTTTCAAGCTAGGCAAGTTATGAGCTCATTCTTGGCCAATGAATGAAGCATTCTTCATGGCATGTCTACCCTAACCAAAAATAAAGGTAGTTTTCACAAGAGTCTGATAAAATGTCTTACAACATTTAACTCATCTAGTCCTCCCAGCCATGATGCTCACAGCCTCACACTTCCAAGTCTGCCAAGCTGAACAGCAAATTCAGCCGCATCAAACATTATGTCAGCATTCAAGAAACAACAACAACAACAAAAGCAGTGAACATTTAATTGGCAAGTTTATTGTTAACAGAATGTAATTTGCCTTTACTGGTCCCCAAGCAAACAGCATATCAGCAGGCTGTAGCTGACAAATGTTGAGCAAATTCAGCCGCATCAAACATTATGTTAGCATTCAAGAAACAACAACAACAAAAGCAGTGAACATTTAATTGGCAAGTTTATTGTTAACAGAATGTAATTTGCCTTTACTGGTCCCCAAGCAAACAGCATATCAGCAGGCTGTAGCTGACAAATGTTGTCCCTACAAAATAAAGGCACCTCACACAAAACCTACGCAATGGAAGGTAATACAAGGCTTGGTCTGACAGGTGAGCACACATATGCAGATCTTCAGGGGTTACTTCTAGTCTTGCCAGGTAAACTGGAAACTGGGTTTATTTCCGAGAAAAGAAAAGGTATAACCCCCAGAGGATCCTGCAGAACACTACAAAGTGTAGCTTATGGCCTTGGCCAAGAGATCATTTGGTGGACTTCTGGACACTTCACAGGAAAGTCATGACAGTCCCATTCTTGCCAATCTGCCAGCGTTCCAGTGGATGAAACTGAATGATGATCCTTTAAGTGGGAGGAAAAGGAGAAGTTACTTTAGATGGTAAAAGTACAACTCTATGCTCTATGGTGTAAGAACAGGGCCACTAGGCCTGCTGATGGAGCTGTCTCGGCAATGCACTTGACATCCCTTGTGCTGTAAACTTTGGTTGCCTCCCTCTGACTTGGCTATCTAGCTGCTGACACAGCCAGGCTTTTTTCCCCTTTCTGAATTCTGGAATTGCTTATGTAACTTTGCTTGGGAGAGGAATGCCCAAAAAGTGGAGAAGGGGCAAAGAGCTATTCCAACACACTCTCTTCCACTCTGTCTATAGGGAACCCAAGAGAATAGGATCTATTCACTCTCTAGCAGCTCCCAGCCATCCACCCACAGAACACATTTCTTGTCCAGTACTTGATGGCACTCACACATACATACACACCAGCTAGGCATAAATAAATTTGCTCAGTCTCAGAGCTTAAGCTTAGTATTTGTCTGATGGTCCACAGGTCATTGTACAAGCATTAGCAGTTGACACTGAACGGCTTCTTGCACAATCATGAATATTTTTCATTTCTCACTTTGAAAATGCATTAACTGCATTACAAATTACCACCACTGCACAAACAAACATTTAGACTAATATTCTGTTGCAAGCAGCATGCCTTGCACAAGTGGAAATAGGCTGCTGGATATAATGAGGTTTTCCAAAGCAAAAACGTACTGCAACTTCTGCCTTTACATTTATTATTTATTTTATTTGTTAAATTTGTATCCTCCCCCCGGCCCGTGGCAGGCTCAGAATATATATATATGCATATGGTAAAATACCAAAATATATTAAAACACAAAATACAATTTAAAATCACAACATAAGATCATCAGTGCTAAGGACATAGATATTAATACAAGATGGCGGCGTTCTCTCAACTTTGGAAGGTCACCTACCACCATAGTCCAGGTTCCTGCCAGGCTGTTGGTCGTTGAGTTTGTGCTGGTGTTAGGGCCTGCAGGGCCATAGTATTAAAAAGTGGCACCCTAATCGAAAGCCTGGTGGAAGAGCCCCCAAAGTCGACCATAAAAAAAAACCTAGTAGGCCCAGCAACACACCTGGCTATCAAGGTAAACTTTTGTAATGCTGAACTCTTGAATAACATATTTTCATCCCTACTACAGCATTTGTAGACAAAAATCATCCAATTTAAACAATGAACATATCTTCGAAAATGTGTTGAATATGTTGACAGTATACAAAGGTATTATTGTATAATAGAGTGCTGATTGTCTTACATAAAAACCTTTGTACCACATATTTTGATTGAGCAAAACCTTGCCATTTCAAAAGAACATATTTCACAGACGCTTCTGCAGAACTCCCTCAAATTACCAAAAATGTTCCATTTGAAAAAAGAAAGGGGGGGGGAAGCCTGGAGGGAACCCCCCCCTCTTCCCCCCATTTCTCTGGCTCATTCCCTGGCCTAATGCTTACCTGTCAGTACCAAGCCTCAGTTCCTTGGTGAGAAACGCAAAGAACTTTGCACTGTGCTCCTTGTTCTGCTCCGCAGATCCCACCACTTCCAAGGAAGACACAACCAGCATAGCACAAGGCTCCTGGGAACCACTGATCATCATGGGCAGGTCGCTCTTTACTGTAATGTTCACCCTCTGCCATGCATCCGAGAAACAGCAAAAAGAAATTAGCATCCTACAGCTAGAAGGCAGAGTCACAGAGGAACCAGGGAAGTGACAAGAGGGAGCAGGGAAGCTTCCTCCCCATCTCCCAGGAAAAGGTGGACTCCCTCTCAGACCAGCCAGTTCTTTCAGTTTCATAGCTGCCCAACATATTAGCTTGCAAACAGGGCAAGCAGCAACTGGGGGCTAGCAGTTTGCCTTTGTCCCTCGCCTTCAAACAAAAGCTCCCGCAGGATGAGCTGCCCAACTCCTGCCCTTGTGGAGAGCTCCACAACCGGAGCCTGGGGCAGGCACATACGATGAAAGACTATCCATATGGCACATTCAGACTCTGCACACGGCAGAATTCTACATGAATTCTACAGAATTCTCCGCCCGCCGAACACCAGCTCAACCAGACCAGAGGCCGGTAAGAAGTTTCCAACCAGGCGCTCCTGTGCAAGGCGGCGCCGTTCTTTCGGCTACTGCCTTTAGCATCGCCGGGGGGCACTCGGGAACTGCGCCTGAAGAGCTGGAAGTCAAGAACCCGCCCGCCAGGGAGGGGCATCTTGCCAGCCTCAGCTCATATAGGGGGGTGCCTCAGCCCCCTCACCTCCACGGGCTTGGCCAGGATAGAGGCGACCTCCGAGCACAGTTTGGTTAGCAGGTCGCTGGGCAGCCTAGAGGCCGGCAGGTTAGTCTGCAACTCCACGAAGGGCATCGTTGCTCCCGCAGCTCCCCCCGACGGGCCCCGAGAGACAATGACTGGGCTGAGCTACGGGGGCTAAACTGGAGCTCCGGAGGAGGCGGTGCTTGCAGCGCGCTCCGTCGGGGAGAAGAGGAATTTGCCCTTGGGCGAGCGCTCATGGGACGAGAGCAGCGCCAACAAACTCTGTCCCCAGCCCTGGCTTGCGCAAAGGGGCCGGCCACTGCTCTGCTTCCGTAAGTACACACGCACCGGAAGAGGCTTCGTTGTGACTGGCCGGCCGCTCTTTGTTTGCTGGATGGCATGAGTTTATTCTGAAACAAAACGATTATGCAAAATCTGTTTTATTTCTGTATTTAATCTGCATGGAATATTCACGCCTCTGTTTCTGAGGGCTCACGGATTACTTTTGCTCGAACAAAAGCAAATTGTATGCAAAAAAATAAATGTGTGAATGGCTACAGGCACCACTGGGTCAAAATAAGGCCAGGCCGCAGAAAAAGACACAGAAAACGCGGAGATAGGTTTAGCAGGCCCTGGCGGCCCTGTTTATTTCAGCATCTTCAGCAGCATGGGTTTCATTTGTGCTTGCAGGGGGGCATCAATGCGGATGTTCTTCAGCTCACTGGTGTTCAGGATCCGTCCGTGCGCTTCCATGAAGAGCTCCTTCCCCACAGCACTTTCGACTCTTCTGCGCCACTCTAGGAGTTTAGGGTGGCCCTCGAAGACATCCCAGCCGGCTCCCAGGGGCTAGAAAGAGAATAAGCATGCAAGTGACATAACTGTCTGGTGTAGTGGTTAAGTGCAGGGACTCTAATCGGAGAGAACCGGCTTTGATTCCCCACTCCATGTGCAGCCACCTGGGTGACCTTGGGTCAGTCACAAGTTCTTGCAGAGCTGTTCTCTCAAGAGAAGTTCTCTCAGAGCTCTCTCAGCCCATCTACCTCTTAGGGTGTCTGTTGTGGGGAGAGAAAGGGAAGGAGATTGTAAGGTGCCCTGGGACTCCTGAGTGAAGGGCAGGGTATAAATCCAGTCTCTTCTCTTCTGATTGTCTATCTGGACTTAACACCAGATTCCACCTCCCTGTCCTACATTAGGACCACTAAAAGAGAAGGGATGTGAGGGTTGCCGCAGCATGAGTTACCTGCATGAGTTCCACAATAGCCACCAAGTCAGCCAGGGAGATCTCATTTCCAACAATGAAGGCCTTATCTTGCAGGAACTTCTCGTCCAGCTTCCTCAGGGAAATGGTCAGGTCTTCAATCGCATCTTGCAGTTTCTCAGGGGGTACTTGATGCCCTAAGAAGAGAGGGATCACCACCTGCCCCCCAAAAGAGCACAAGCATTATTAACAGCTGGATATGAAGCCACGCTGAGAGTTCCACCTAGAAGCAGAAAAATTAAACAATAATCCAGTGGCACCTTAAGAGACTAACAGCATTTATTTTAACATAAGCTTTTGGGGATCACTTCATCAGGTTCCTAGAAGCAGAGAATGAAAGGACATCTTTACAGACCAGTTCCCATCCACAGATCTCTTCCTCCAACTGGGTGCATTTGACACCATGTGGGCAAATACACTTTGATATGTCTGAGATTTGTCCAAAACCAGATCAGGCATTCCACTAGAAACTGAACAGGTATGTGAATTGTTCTTCAGTGCAGTAAGGTCAGCAGTCGTTTAGGTTGTTCAAACGAGTGAAGGGCAGGGTATAAATCCAGTCTCTTCTCTTCTGATTGTCTATCTGGACTTAACACCAGATTCCACCTCCCTGTCCTACATTAGGACCACTAAAAGAGAAGGGATGTGAGGGTTGCCGCAGCATGAGTTACCTGCATGAGTTCCACAATAGCCACCAAGTCAGCCAGGGAGATCTCATTTCCAACAATGAAGGCCTTATCTTGCAGGAACTTCTCGTCCAGCTTCCTCAGGGAAATGGTCAGGTCTTCAATCGCATCTTGCAGTTTCTCAGGGGGTACTTGATGCCCTAAGAAGAGAGGGATCACCACCTGCCCCCCAAAAGAGCACAAGCATTATTAACAGCTGGATATGAAGCCACGCTGAGAGTTCCACCTAGAAGCAGAAAAATTAAACAATAATCCAGTGGCACCTTAAGAGACTAACAGCATTTATTTTAACATAAGCTTTTGGGAATCACTTCATCAGGTTCCTAGAAGCAGAGAATGAAAGGACATCTTTACAGACCAGTTCCCATCCACAGATCTCTTCCTCCAACTGGGTGCATTTGACACCATGTGGGCAAATACACTTTGATATGTCTGAGATTTGTCCAAAACCAGATCAGGCATTCCACTAGAAACTGAACAGGTATGTGAATTGTTCTTCAGTGCAGTAAGGTCAGCAGTCGTTTAGGTTGTTCAAACACTGGCAAAGATAGCTGGTCTCAGTCTCCAAACTGATTATCACATATTTCTTTTTCTTCCATAGCTGCTTCTTGGTTACTTTGCTGTCGGCTCTAGTTACACTCTTACAAAAGGCTCCCACCCTATATTCTGTATATTAAAAAACAAAACCACTAGAGATTCAGTGGAATTTCTGCCTGTCACCCTGTTGTTAAAAGGCACAAAATCTCTATCAGGGAGATAGTAGACAGAAGCTGACGACGTTCCACTGTAGTAGCTACCGAAAGGCTCAGACAACCAGTGCTGAGCCTTAGTTTACCATCCCAATTCCTGACAGAGCTTTTCATAGCTAGCTGTGTGATATCAGAAAATTCACCAGGCAATGCTGGCTTTTCCTGTTGCTGCTGCATCTTGCAGCAAAGGCTCCTGAACCACAGAGGAAGGAATTCAAGGCACACTGAAAGGCTGTCAAAAAGCAACTTGTCTCCCCTGTTTATGTCCAGGGACTTGGGAGCCTTACCTTAAGCCACAAGATTTTGGAAGCACTTGGTCGGATGGTGCTGTGTTGCCAGGCCAAATATTCATCGACACGACCCCGCTTCTTCATGTCAGGGGGGTACCAGTGACTGGGTGTATTGTACTTGCGGGTCAAGTATAGAAGGATGGCTGTGCTGTTGGACCAAAAAGTAGTGTGAGAGGGTGAAGTCAGACAGCCCTGCCAGCTTTTGGCTTTCCTTAATGCTTTAGTGTTAAAGGAGCCAGGCAGCTTTGGGAATGAGAGGGAGGAATCATACTAGAATAAGCCAACTTTGCCTTTCATACAGGCTTGACCATCAGGAATTAGCCAATGGAGCTTCTCACTACATGGACATAGGTCACCTGGTAATACCTACAAGTGGAGCTGCTGTTAAAGGCTCAGCTACAGTGCACAACTGAAAAGATAGCAACCCTCGTGTGTTATGTGCCATCAAGTTGCTTCTGACATCCCTAAACAAATTTAGTCTACTGGGACTGTACTCTCTGGCAACTACAGATTCCCAGTTAACTTCCCACCAAGACAATCAAAAAGTCCCCCCTCCCGCACAATCTGGATGTTTGCTAGACAGCCAACAGTTAAAACATCAATTTTTTAAAAATCCCACAGATTTCACTTTCTACTTCCATGGCCAATGTTACTTTGTAAAAAGAGAGAGTGCCCCCCTTCTTCTTGCTAGGAGGGAGTGGCACTAGGATTGTAAAGGATTGTAATTAACATTTAGGTATAATTATGGAATAGGGAGAGCCGTGGGCCTTTTCTTTGCTCTTCTTACCTCTCCTCTAAAGTATAATCACCATCTTTCAGAACTGGCACTTTCCTGAGGATATTCACCTTGTTAATTTCTTCACTGAACTGCTGCCCTAAATGTTGGTGAAAGAGAACAGGAAAAACCATTACAAATGGTATGCTATATGCCACCTCAGATGTTAGTCTTGGAGAGTGTGGGGTATTATAAATAAGTAAATCAATTAGATGAAGGCCTGCAGAAATTCTCACATATTCTACACTTTGTACATCAAGTTTGATTTAAATGTGACGCCGGTGAGGCTAAAGCATTTTGCTATGGGACTTTGTGCAGGACCTGGGCCATTTACTATATAAAACAGATAGGTGTCACATGGGAAAATCCTACCAGAAAGTGTTTTTGTCCTCAGCCACCACACATTGAACAGGATTCACTCCCTCACCATGGTCCCTTGGATTATCATAACTGATCAGCCCTGTAACCTGGTTTAGTGGATTGTGCTTTTATTTTACATTCTAATCACATGAACCCTAAATATGCATATGGCTTGTGTATATGGTTATTCCAAGTCTTGAGATAATTTGAAACTGGAAGCATTGGTACTGGTCACATGTTCCCTCTAAACTGTGGAGTGTTGTGAACAAAAATTCTACTTTGTACTGGCATTAAAGTTGTGAGCGAGCGATTTGGCTGCTGCATACATTAGTTTGCTCTGGAGCCCTCCTTCCTGAGCAGAGACAAAAATGTGTGAGCCGGAGGCTGAAAAACGGTGAGCTAGCTCACACCAACTCAGCTTAGAGGGAACACTGGTCACAACCTAAGGATTTAATTTTAGCCAGAAGACTGACGAAAAGATGTCAGCCAAAGCCTGTGTTCTCATGACTTGAAAGCTATTCTGCTTTTAGGGGACACGTATAGAGAACATGAGAGTACAAGATCCAGTAGCAGCCAGCCGGATATATGAGAGAGCTCCCAAACCAGGCATGAAAGCAGTAGCCTCTTCTCTCTCCTCAGCATCAAACTTTCTGCACCTCTGCCATTGCTCTTAGAGGTTGTACCATGTGAGAAATGTATTTTATGTAAGCCGCCCTGAGCTCACCTCAGCGGGAAGGGCAGGGTATAAATTGAACTAATAAAATAAAAATAAGTTTCTTCTAGGAAGGACTGGCCTAAACTAACTGTAGCTGTGGAAACATGGTGTCAAAGACAGTGAGTGGATGGCATACTCTACTCTCTTAGTTCTCTATGGCTTTACTCAAAGATAACTGGTAGCAGTTTTTCCACAAAGTTTGGAGCAGCCCATTATTATAATGATGGATCAAGATGGATAGGCTTGTTAGTCTGTCTGTAGCAGTAGAAAAGAGCAAGAGTCCAGTAGCACCTTAAGTAAAAGGTAAAGGTAAAGGTTCCCTTGCTCGAAAGCCAGTCGAATCTGACTCTAGGGTTGCGGTGCTCATCTCCGTTTCAAAGCCGAAGAGCCAGCGCTGTCCGAAGACGTTTCCGTGGTCATATGGCCGGCATGACTAAACACCAAGGCGCACGGAACGCTGTTACCTTCCCA